TATAAGTTGCAGTAATGAACATGACTACCTTGTTGTCTGAGGATGAGGCGCTACGCCCTTCACTTCCGTTGTAATTTGCCATCTAATCACCTATCATATTACTACTCACTGATCAGTAACATGTACAGAAGCAGAATTTACACAAAATTAATTGTGTGTTTGTGTGTGTGTGTGTGTGTGTGTGAGTGAGAGTGTGAGAGAGAGAGAGAGAGAGAGAGAGAGCTACAAGAAGCAAATGCAGATGCAGAGTCTGTGGAATGGCTTGGACAGGTGGACTAAATATATCAAGAAAGAGTTAAAATAATATTGAGTGAAAAAAACTGGTAAGAAATCAAATAATTAGGCAAAGAAAAAAATAGAAATGAGTAAATGAAAATTGAAGAAATGGAAAATGGAGAGAGAATCTGATATTACCTCAAGTGGAGGAAACTAAAGAAGCAAGCAAAGTAAGAGAGGAATGGGTAGAAATGAAGAAAGATAAAGATAGATTTATATTGGGAAGTAGAAGTTTGGACAGTTGAGTAAGAAGGTAACAAAAGAATATTATATATACTAGTGGTTGACACGTGCCTTGCACGAATTTTGCATTTGTTGTGTTTTTATTAGTGTAGAAATAGTTGATGTTCAAAAAAAAAAGGAGTTTAAGATTTATTGGATTATTAAGAGTTTCGGGAGCATATTATTGTCTCGCTAATGCACCGTCTAATAAGGTGATTATTTTAAAAGCTGATATTATTGCACAGAGAAACTCACAAAAAATAAAATTGAAAACATCACATATATGTAGAACATGATAGTACATGATAATAAAAACGTTTGACATACATAAAGATTAGAGATTTACATGAGTAAGAAATATTTGATTCATTAAATAGTAAAGCATGCATCGAAAAATGAAAAAACATGATAATATATACATTTGACATATATAAAGATTGCAGGTTTAAAGAAGTAAGAAATATTTGATTCATTAAATAATAAAGCATGCATCGAATAATTAAAATGCATAGCAAAGAAGTTGTAAAATGATACCATGCAGCATTTATATAATATAACCAATGAGCTATGATGGAACTTACATGTGTAAGCTAAGACGGAATGGATAATTCTTGCACTGTCATTTTTACTTCTTCTCTTGGTTGTTTATAAACGTCGGCATCTGAGTATACAATAAAAATTGGAATAATTGTATTAAATCACATAAAGCACCTACCTAACCCTTCAAAAAAAAAATGTAAAACATATCTAGCAAGTTTTTTGTAGTTGGCAAAAAACACATCCTACCCGCATGTATTTCGTACCATCACCCAAAAAAAACTATGAACTTTCAATTCTTATGAACTGAACAAATGCCACCGAAGAATGAAACAAATTAATGTTAACAAATGTATAAATCCAATTCTCTGGAAGTGAATGAATCAAACAACTAAATGCTTGATCATTTAATTTTTGGAAGCAGAAAAAATAAATGTCTCTATATAAATTTAGAATTGAATCAATTTTTACTAAAATGTAGGATGAGGGGACATAGCTATAAATAGTCAAAATTTCGGATGCGGGTACACATATATGCCTTCACACTTAATTTTTTTTCTAGAAATTCACATGTAAAAAGTTAAATAATAATTAAGTGACAAATTGTTAAAAGATAGAACACGTCACTTGAAATCAACTACAAATTTATACTAAAATTCTAAAAATCAAAAACTGCATAAATTTAAATGACAAAAACACAAAATTAAAATAAATGTTAGAAAATATCATAATTGATTACAATTGTCATACCCGCTTGAAAATTGAAGGATCCGCTCCATATTTCATACCCATAACCGTGTTGTGTCGTGTCGACACGGGTGCGCTGACCGGAATGCCAAGTCCGAACATCAAAGGTGTAATTGAAATGGAAAACATTTTCAACCATGCACTAATTGATTTCATTTTTCCTCTTTCCTCATATGTAAAGAAATGTTTGCGGATGAATGACTACTTTTCATCCATCATTTTGCTTACAACATTGGTGGAGAATTTGAAAATTTGCGTGCATGATTAATTCAAATTTAAAATTGAAAATTTGTCAATAGTTATGAACGATAAAAAGTTCGTTAGAAATGCACATGTACAAGGAAAATACAGAGTGTTTTGGAAAAATATAGTTAGTTGAATGACATTTTTGAAAGATTAAAATTATAAAGTAAGCAACCCTTTGCTATTTATAATGCTCACCGTAGCGTGTTAAAATTTCGTAAAATCATTTCTTTTACCAAAATTACTGCTGTCAGTTGGTAATCCAACAAAACCAAAACTTTGTAAACTCGTTCCTTTTATTAAAATTACAGCTGTCTGTAACCCAACCAACCAAAACAAAAGGAAAATTGTTGTTATTGTTGTTGAGTGGAAAGACCATAAATATATTCTTAGTGGATGTAGACTTTGACTCGGAATCGAATAATATGGTGCCATCTCTCTTAAACATACAAGAATTGTGATTAATCTATTCGCAACTTTTCTGGATTATAAACCCTGTAACTTCGAAAGTAATATGCTACTATTCAACCTGCCTACCAAACATACCAACAAGCTATCTCAAACGCGGGTAAGAACACATTGACATGCAGACACTCACAAACACCCGTAGAGAGAGAGAGAGAGAGAGAGAGATATCAGAGTGATATTTTTGTAAACATTAACATCAAAAGGATGGTGGTAGCTTAGCCCAGATTTCCTAGCCAACCAAGCGACTCGTTTTCCTTCATAGTACTGTAAGGGATTCGAATATTAAAACATTAATTTTTACGGTACGAATATGTGAATGAATTCAATATGATGCAAAATTACACTTCTTACCTCTGTGGTTGTCATCTTATGAGCAATGAGGTAAACATGCCAGCAAAAGAAAGTTCCAAGTGTCAAACTTAAACCCCCAACCATTAATCCAAAATTGACAGTCTCATTTGAAGAAGAAACAAATGCGTGAAGAAGATTTTATCATGTGCTAGAAGATTTGAAGAATAGTAAGAAAACACACCATGCAGTATGAGAAAACAGAGATTTTTTAAAAAAATATTTTCATATGATGCACGGTTTAAGGAATTGCTTCAAAAGGAATGCAAAAGATAAAAATTATTGATTAGCTTTAAGCGTGAATTTTTCACAAAAAATATGGATTTGATCTTAGCTACGGTGAAGTTGATCAAAATATTGCTAATAACAAAAGAGGATTGATGTGACACTATTACCAAAAAAAAAAGTATCTCCGCACAACGCTTACATGGACGGACACATGTGTTGATGCAGACACTACGAACGCACGGAGACTTTTTTTTTTTAGATGTCGGAACCAATTTTCAAGATATAAAATCAAATTTCTCAAAAAAAAAAAAAAGGCATTTATACAACGAAAATTGAGTGAAAATTGCCCATTTTTTTTACATTGCAGTGAAAATTGGAGGATCGGAGGAGTGAAATCTAAAAAAATAAACAATAACATCTCATTGGGTTACTGTTGCATCTACAGTTACCCAAAACTGACTTTTTTATTATAGTAGGATATATATAGCACCAACAAATTCGTGCTAACAAGCTAGAAAAGATTGGCTGGATGGGGGTGGGTGGTAGAAGTTTAAAAAACGAGTCGTCTCGGGTTATTTTTAGAATGTTCGATATAGTGAGCACTTTTTACTAAGTCGATTTAGGCAAACATGTACACAGAAATGTGAGTCAGCTTGTGTTAAGTTGGGTAGACCACTGGCCTCTACACGTACTGTTAGATTGATTTAACTAATCCTTAGTTCTATTTTACCCTTTCGCTCATCCAATAATGTTACTTGCACTCGACAAGTAAGAAGTAAAATGTTTTGCTTCTTTTAATAATTTCTTGAAAAAAATTAGTCATGAGCCAGGCTATCACGACCAATGCTGGGTGCTTAACTCGTCAAGTAGCTCGTTTCAAATTTTCACATTTAATATTGGGTTAGGCCATAAGTTACTGTTTTGATTATGGCTGTAAATGTATGTCATGGGACCATTGGTTCAAGGCCTTAAACCAAGCACTACAATTCACGTTATAACCGTCACTTTCTTCCCATATTATAAACGTGTTTCTTTTCTTAAAATTATGAATAATGTTACCTTACCAGAAAATAGGTGACGTCGTGATTGACATAATAAGTGTTGACAAGATATGATTTGATAAAGTAATTGACCGTATTTTAAACAGTTCAATGATAAGTTGTCATGTGAAATTATGTCAAAGATTATGTCAACTATTATGTCAGTAACATGATTTGCACTATAAACCTGGAATTAAGCTAAATGAACGTAATGCTTGACATAGGGGTTGATCGACATCTCACATTGCATGTGGGTCCCGACCTGAATTAAATAATGACGACCTCCCCCATGTGTGTGTGTTGTGTCATCTCCTATGTCAAACATTATGTTTGTGTAGCAAAACTCATAAACCTGTGATATAGTACGAATTTAGTTAAGATTGCATTGTAAACGTGTTTTTAAATATTTAGGTCATGTGAGACTATTTATTGTGCATTTTTTTCAATACATGGTTGAAATATGAAAAATATTTGGCTTTTTGGGGTTTTCCTTAAATAAAATGGTACAAAAATAAGACTATATTTACGTTTATTTTGTTTGTTAAATTATGTCGCATAAATCTAAAACTACTTTTGTCAAAGTGAGCACAACAATATAATTCTTCTCATTTTACCTTTTTGGATAAAGTATGGTAATGTTTGGTTACTTAAAATTCAGTTTTCAAATCCAAAATTAGAAATAATTTTTCATCATCTAATTTGATGGTCGAATGTCATGTCCCAATCATATTAATCTTAAAATTGATTCGAAGATATTATTTTTATGGCATTTATAAGTTGAAACAACGAGAAACATATCAACTTTTTCCAACATAGATATCAATCACACTTTTGTACAATTGGTAACAAATCTTTTTTTTGTTACGGCAACAAAGTGTATATGATTAGAAATTAAATCTTGACTTCTTCAATAGAAGCAATGAGAGAAACTGAATGTTTGATATCATCACCAATATGAAGATTATGCTCACCCAATGGAATTCGAAGAATTCCATTGTTATCTGCCATGCTTAAATGCTTGCACGCATCAATATCAATCATAACTTTCTTTTGACTCCCAGCTACTACATGAACTTTCTCGAATGCAACCAATTGTTTCTCCGGCGCCTGTTTTCTGGCCGGTAGAGTTGCAAACACCATCAGTGTGTGTGTTCCATCCATGTCTCCAATATTTTCAACATTTATGTGTATACTCGAAATGAGTGAGTCACACTTAGTGTGTGTGACCCTTACACCATGGCTTAGCATGGTAGAATTGTTAAATGTTTTTAAGGTTGTGAGAGGAATTGAAATTGTGGTTGGGGCATGGGCCAGAGTGGGCCTGAAGCTAGTGTAACTCAACCCATATCCAAATGGAAATACAACTGGGCCTTTGTAAAATCTGTAGGTCCGGCCTGGATAGCCTCTTGATGGATCTGCCCTCATGTCCATTCTTGTCATTGGCACCTTAGATAAGTAATATTGTGGATACCATGTGTTGGGTAACTTTCCTCCTAAGATGTAACATATATGAAAGAGCATTAGTCATAATTCATTTTCACGAAAACATAACTAATTTAGTACGTAATATTAATTTTCGCGATGAATGTATACCTGGATTAGTTGTTCCAAATAGAACATCAGCAATGGCAGTTCCTCCGGCTTGACCAGGGTAGCCAACCCACAGTATGGCTCCAATTTTTGGATCATTCTTAGCAAATGTGACATCAATTGGGCCACCAGACATTATGACTAATACAACTGGACCTCTAGAAGCCTTGGCAACCCTAGATACAAGCTCCTGTTGATGTCCTGGCAAAAGTAGCCCCACTCGATCTCTAGCTTCGGCTTCAATTGATTGATCCAACCCCATCACCAAGATGGTCGCATCCGCCTGGCGTGCAGCACCCTCGGCCATCCCAAATTGTCTATTATCATTGCAAGCTACGCCAAAGCATCCTTCTTGATGAATTGTCCTAACATATCTTGCTATCCCTTGTACTGGCGTTGTGTAGCCACATGCAACTCCTGAATCAATTAGAAGTAAATATTTCATCAATAATGTCACGTGGATAAGAAAAACTAAACAACAAGAAAAAAGAGACATTATACCAGCATAGTTGCCTCTCATGGTGACAGTAACATCGGAATTGGGTCCGATGACTGCAACAATTCGGTGCCTTCTAGTTGATAGTGGCAGAGACTGCCCACGGTTTTGAAGTAGAACTATGCCTTGTCGAGCAGCTTCAAGGGCAAGTTGCTGATGGGCTGGAGTGCAAACATCTCTCGGGCCCAAATAATTGTAAGGTTGTCTTGGGCCATCGAACATACCCAAACGCATCTGGACCATCAGCAAATTGGACAAGGCCTCATTTACATCGGCCTCAGTGAGTTTACCAGACCGTACAGCGGCATCGGTGTAGATTGCAAGATAAGGCCCACAGTCTAAATCCAAGCCTGTTACCCAGAAAAAGTCCAAATTGAAGCCATGTAGATCAAATTAATACATTATTTATAAGAAAAATACCATGTTAAGAAAATGGTATGATAAAAAAAAATTGAATTTTTAAATTAAATAAATAAAATGAAATATGATAAAAATACCTGCTTTGATGGTGGCAGCAACTGCATCTTCTGGTGTGGTCGTGTAACGTTGTTCTTTAAACAAAACTTCGACCGAGTCACAATCAGAAACAATGTATCTATTTGAAGAACCCACAAAAAAAAAAAAAAACAAAACAAAACAAAAAATTAGTATTTATTAAACGTGCAAAATCTAATCATAATTATCTGATGTTAACCGAGTTTAGAGCGTCGACTAACCCATTAAGGTGCCATTGACCACGAATCGTGCCACGAAGTAGACTAGGGTCGGCACAAGTGGGCTTCCCATTGACTTTATTGTACGAGCACATTACACTAGCTACTCTCCCTTCCATCACACAAGCCTTGAAGGGCACATTGTATGTGTCCTCTAGGTCCTGTTTACTTACCTGCAAATTAATTACAAGTAGTGAAAATTAATTTCCTTTCCATTAAGATATTGTAGCGAAAAGTGATAGGACCAGTACTATGGTCAAAGCATCAATAATTAAGAAATTAATTTATGGCCAAATTAATTAATTTCTTTAACCAACTTTTAATTATGGTCATAATCATATCTCTTCCGTGCAAGTAATTCCTTACTTTTATTTTCAAGTTTTCTACTAACTTTTTATCTCTACTTCTCAAAAAAAAGTAAATAAATAAGTATTTGAGTACATCATGTCTTCTACTAGTCAAATAGAAAATACACAAGTTATTTATTTTAATAATAATATAAAAATTATTTTTGATAATAAATAATTATTTTTTTATTTAGAAGTAAGAAAAGTCGCTATCTTGTTGGTGACAAAATTAACATTACCATCTTTCTAATCTTAGCCATACACGCTTTAATTACCAATACAAAATTTTACTAACTTATAAGTAATAATTTTGTTCTAAAATAAATAATTTTTTATTCTTCAAAGTTCAAATTTGAAAATTATTTATTTTGTATCTAACTCTTACTTAATTACTATTAAATAAGTACCTTGAAACAGAAACTTGCTTAAATAAGTAACTTTTAACCTCAAAATCTTATGCTTTTACGAAGTAATAATTAATTACAAGCAGATAAAAAGGAAAAAAAGAAAAAGGGTTCTCATACCCTGGCATCGAAATGGAATCGATCAACACCATTCCAGATATCAAGATCATATGCAGTGTAATGTTTGCAGCATGCCGCCACTTTTAACCTGTTTCCGGGGCCGGTGCCCTGAAGTCCTTTCACATAGCTGGCGGCGTACCTAGCGGCTACGGCGGGGTCCTCTCCAGGCGTTTCTTGGCCCCGTCCCCACCGTGGATCTCTAAATATATTTACATTTGGACTCCAATATGTTAAACCCGCCGCCCCTCCGTTGTACATTGCTCTTGCTTCATCGGACACCACCTGCATCCATGATATTTAACGAAAATTATGCACTTGTAAGGCTTTGATTAAAAATAAAAATAAAAATTAAAAGAGCTCAACGAGTGAAGGGCGACAAAATTTAATTAAAAATAAAATTTATTTACTATGTTTTATATAGAAAAAACTCTCAAATATATATATCTTAAATAAAATAATCTTTTAGATAGAATATATACTCATTATTGTTTGCAAGCTTTCAACATCTCATCTTGGACTATAAATATAGAATTTATTTCATTGTCCAAATTCATGAATGTCCACTTCAGACAACTTAGCAAAATAGAAAAGAAGAGGTAAATATCAAACTTCTATGACATCGAATCTCTCTCGTGCACGCTTGTACACACTAAAAAACATGTATGAATATTCAAACGAAAAAAACAGAAAAAAAAAAAAAAAACCAATTTTAATTCCCTTACGTGATTAGTAACATAATTTCTTACAAGATTTATTTGATTTCGGATACAAAAATCCTATATTAAAAATATAATATCCCATTAATTTTTTCTTTCACTATCCAAATAACTAAAAAATTGTTGCCACTTACATAAAATAAGCTGTCAAGAAGATGCCTTCACGTGTGTCCAATTTATCTCAATCGAACAATGCCACACTAAAAAACTAACTTATTTTCCTTTTTGGACAGTCTATAGATGCTGTCTAAGTGTGGGTAAAAGGCACCATCAACAACTTGTTAATGATATTATAATTGCACGCTTGTCCTCGAGAATTCGATAGTAGAACAAATATGCATGAAGACCACGTTTGGAAGATCGTATGCATCTTTATTTACTTTTTTCTCCGTCACTTACAATTTCAAAGGCCAATCTTGCTTCGTGTACAGAAGCAGAAGCCACGGAAGACCAACAGAAAACACATACGTTGGGGTCCCGCATTGTGAGTATTCTAGTGGCTTTCTGGCAAAACCATTTCTGTACAAATGGTTTTATTGTTCAAAGGCACGTTAAAAGTAGTTTTTTATAGACTCGTAGTTGGAGTCTCTTTTTGGACTGTCTTTAGATGCTGTCTGGCTACGTGTTGGCAAAAGTTACCATCAGGCATCAACAAGTTGCAAATAATTTCATACTAATTTTTATAGACATCATGTGCAATTTATTGGTTTTTGGACTGTACTATGATCAATCGATTCAATTTTCTTGCTACTTTACAATGTCATTAGTCACATGCAAGCTTAATCTGTCGAAAGGTCTGTAGCCGCATGACAAAGAGAAAAAAGGGTTTCTTGTGAACATTTTTGCAGTGACATCAAACAAGAAATCATAATCCCAAGAAGAAAATAGAAAGGGACAATCTTAGTGGGGAAAACGAGGAAATAACGCAAGTCTTTATTCGTCATTCAAATCATCATGTTAGTTTTTAGTCTAATCTTTCTCGTCATACTAAGATCGATTCCTCTTTTAAATTATTGAAAAGTCACCGGTTTTAGGAGAATTCGATAAAGACTATTATAAAAAGTTAAATGAAAAATTAGATTGTAACATTGTGTATATCAGTTGACAATTCATCCATATGGGACGACCTAAAATCATAAATGGTGGCCTGAAGTGTGATTTTCATGCAAAAGAATTCACATTTCATTTCACACGTGGATATAAGGATCGAACAGTGTAATGAACAAGATTTAAATTATTTATTTATTTTTTAATACTATCGAGGGGTATATCAATCTCCTACCGACTACCGTTCATGCATTCTATAATTCTGTTCCAATCATGTCTCAGATAACTATATATAAAAAATAGACAACCTCAAATTTATTAAAAAGATACTTATTTTTCATTCTGTTATAGTACAGTTCATAAATAAATAAGAAATAAAGTAGAGATAAATGCAAAAAAATTAAATATCTCACCTTGCCAATTTCTTCCCACAATGAGGCATTGAATGAAGCGGCAGTAAGAATAACTTGAGGGAAGCTGGTGGCTCCGGGGAACTGGCCGCCGAATTTCACACCGGGGCCGGTGTCCGACACGCCGTGAAGAGCTTCCGACCACCACTCATACCCTTGAATGCCCAATCTCTCCACTGGTGCAGCATTGTTAACAAGTGACCTGATTTTTTCCTGCAATGTCAACCGTCCGATCAAGTCCTTAACCCTATCTCTAATATGGAGTGACACTTGACAAAAGGGTATGTTTTTGGTCATGCCATTTGTAGGGTCACATGCAAACGGCGGCCGTGACTCGCCGGAGTAGATACAAATATGAAGAAGGAAGAATATGCAAAGAAATGGAATTTTTTTCATAGACATTTTGTGGGATGTATATACATATATTGTATGTATATTTGTGTGTGTTTGTGATTGTGAAGAAGTGAATGAGAGTGAAGGGTTATATATAGGGAGTTTCAAGTTTGGGCTTCATGGATTGAATCTCCACGTCGTTCTTATCACCGTGTCTGTGTGTTTGAGTCATTGAGTGGGTGAAGTAGAGAGATTGGGGGGGTAGGGCCTAGGGGAGATATATATTTTGTTGAGTGAGTAAGTCCAACACGCATTTGTTAGTTTTCTAGAATGATAGGTTTGTTGTGCAAGTTGCTACATGTTAAAGTTGTGTGTTGAGTCGATTTGGTTCGATTTTGCAGTAATTTAGTAATAGGTCTACGCACTTTTGCCTACACATTTAAGGTGTGAGATGGTAGATATAGTTTGATTTCAGGGTAATTTGGCGATATGTCTGGATCTTTAGTTACATGCTAACGGTGTGAGTCGGATCGATATAGTTCAATATTGAGGTTATTCAGCAATAAGTCTATGAACGTTTATAATTAATTTCATATAAGAATTTTTTCCCTTAGACATACGTAGCCATGTTATGTCGATTTATTAGGTGGTGGATGTGAAATGACACCACTGTAGAGGTAGGCCCGACGCGTGATAGAGTCTGATTTTGATTTGATCTAAGCTTTTCAAATTCTTTTTTTTTTCATTTTAAATCACGTTGTATTATTTTGTTACTTGTTGTCGGATGGTCTATCAGAGCGTTTCACATATTTAATGATCCATCACATTTTAACACATCTACGCGTCTTTATACTTTCAGCATATATTTTTTTTAACGTACTCACATATCAAGCATATCATTTTTGTCTCCTTATCTATTTTTGTTGCCTTTAAATTTGTTTCATTAATCGACTCTTTCATTATGCATCCAATAATTTTACTGTAAGAACAAATAATACAACTATTTGGTAAGCTTTTAAAAATAGCTTATAATCATATGGTAAATCAAGCAAATTAAATTAGGAACAGTTAGGCAAAAGTGGTTACCATTGGCTTAATTTTGGAAGTAGCTAGGTTTTTATAGGCTTTTGAATTCACTTTAGTCACCATAATACTCACAATTTGACAACTACTTATAAGTAATATCCCAACCAATCAAAACATGTAGACATAAGTAATTACCAGTTAAAGTAAATTCATTTTTTTATGTGGTGGAGGTCGAATTCATTCGTTTTCAAAGGCAACCCTGTATCTGGAAGATACGACTTTGAAGGTTATTTATAGGTAAACTTTTCTATTAAAGCAAAGAAAAATTATGCGATAATAAATATAGTATTTGAATTGATTCAATGGTTAAGACTGAAGCAGACGTCGTATTTGAAATTAAGGCAAATAGTAAAAAAGAAATTAACAACGATTGCGTAATTTTTCTTACAACGATTGCGTAATTTTATGTTGTGTTTGTTTCTTAATTTTTGTTTAGTACAATAAACATGGAAATAGTGTAAAGGTGTGACAAAAAAGTAAGAACTCCCGTGAGGAGAATTTTCACAAGGTAAAAAGGTATTCAAGACACGAGCTTTGTCCTATTATGACAACTATATATGTACTTGTATATAGTACAAATTCATAGTATGTCTAATTATTCATACAATTTCTTGTCTAGTAAATGCTCAAAAATCGATCCTTAAAAGAGTACATTATTATAATATATTAAACGCTCTTAAAAAGGAAGATACTAAAATATTGTTAAATAAAGCATGTTTTGCTAATTTAAAAAAAAAAAAAAAAAAGAGTTACTTGTAAGTATTTTTGTGTTTACAAACGTATTTAAATAACTTACTTTGCTCGAATGTATCTTTTATATTACTATTAAAATAACTTCTTTTTAACTTTCATCAATAAAAAAATCAATTGTTTTACTTGTGAGTAAACTTCTATAAAGGTGATTTGTTACTCTTCACCTCCGAGGCTCAAAGAGACGGTGCTACGTAAAGAGAAAGTCGACAAGAAAGTAAAATAAAGACCTATAAGGCCCAAATACGAAGAGGCCAAACAAAACCAAAGTGCTTACACTGTAAGGACGATGTCCAAGTTGAGACACTAGCTAAAAGACGAAGCCACCTAAGGAAACAAAGAAAAGAGTCCAACTTTCCACTTAGAGGACCACTTCAAATATTCCTCCAAGGCTCTCAAACTCGTCTGAAGCTCGCAAGGCCGACGATGTTCCTTGTAATAGATTCAAGGATTTTTTAGAAGTGATTGATGTAATACTTGTAATAAAGTTTGTCAGTATGTCAGCCTATTGTATAGAGCGACTGACCCTTTATCAATGTATTAATTATATGAATAGACAGTGATGTGACGTTCTAATTAGGGAGACGAGACCACGTGATTCTGATCCAACGATCACCACGTGGGCCAAAATAGTATAAATATATTCTCTTTGTAACTTAAAAGGGGGTTGGATTATTGATTGGAATAGAAACAATCATATATATTCGAAATACACACTTGAACTCTAGAGTGAAATATACAAACATTTGGACTTATTTTCTATCTTCTTTATATGCTTACAAGCTGCAAATCTCAACATACGAGGTAGTAATTCATATACATATTTCATCAATCATTCCACATATGCATATTTGTTATTACATAGATTAGTTTGATTTCAACCCGGTGATCGTTGTTAGAGCGATTATTTTTGTTCCATCCGTCGGATTTGAACATTCTTGTCTCTCGTCGCAAAGTACCTCTCGCGTCCATTTCCTCTTTGCTACTGTTGTTACTTCTGTAAGAACGCGCCGGAATCATACTTGACTTGGCGTGAATGGGCCTGATATCTGTTGGCTCATTTTCAAGGGTAAAATCAATCTAGTAATAGAGATGGGGATTGCACCCTCGACTGCTCACCATTTCATGGAATTCCTGATGATTAATAATAGCTCTGCTTATCATGGAGTGCTTGGGAGGCTAGCCTGGAAAGAATTATGGACTGTCACCTCCATTCATCACCTATGCATGAAATTTCAACTCAGAGGTAAAAATTCACTTCTAGAAAAAAATTTAAAAAAAAAAATCGATTTTCAACATCAAATATTTGGAGATTTGTTCATGTATGGATAAAATAAGTGTCCCCTCTAAACTTGGTCTTTAGTGGGGGGGCCCTGTGCATAGACTCCAGGTCCAAATTAATTTTGATAGGCATGTGCCAACGGTCTAAGTTCAAGATATAGCGTGCCTCATTCAAACTTAGATTAAGTGGCGTAATTTGCCTTCTAACTTTAATATTTTTTTAAATATTTGCCTAATTGATTTAAAGTTTTTTTTTGTCAAAAACAAATCTCCAATGGACTTAAAATGTATTATCCATTGATGATAACTTTGGCGCACAGTATAAATAGAATCGAATAATGAGGTGAACTCCTTTTTATTGTTTTATATTATTTTTTTCTTTTCAATATACAAAACACATCGTTGATCATCGATCTCATTGTTTTGTTGTTTCTCTAAATATGTATCACGTCCACAACTTAATCGCATGGGAATATATAAGAAAATTTATTAGTTTTGAATTATTACTTAGGAATTATCATATAGTTTGAAATCATTAAATCCTATGAATGTCACTGAAAATGTCTCATTCTATCAAATAATTTAAACTATAATATCATATGATCAAACATGACACCAAACAATCAGAAGTATAAATAAATCTTTACTTCAATTTTCATCACTCAAAATAAAAGATAACGAATTAACATTATCGATGTATTTAACCAACATCATGGGACATTTTGTTATGTCGTTTCAAAAGGGAAAAGGGTGCTTTCGATTTACTTGTATGAATTGGCAACCAAAGTTTTCAATATTTCAACTTGACGACGTGGGATTGATGGATGAGTGCATGGAAAGGGACATTAGACGAAGAGTGAAGGTTTTTATGATGCGGAAGAAAGCAGCCCCCAACACAGGACTAACTGGATCATTAATGATGAGACCCCACTTATCCTATGTCTTGAGAGAGTTTTGGGGATGAGTAAAAGAAACTCCAAATATGTGTTGATCTAACTTGGTATAGCGTCTAAGTCTCGATGGTTATGTCTAATTATGTCCACTTGTTTCTACGGTTGAAGTTGCTTTGAGTTTGGGAGTATAGGCTCACAACATATACAGCCTAGAGACAGCCCTACTTGATGGTGTGGCTACAACAACTTCGACAATTGAGTCATGTCGACTTAAGGTGTAAAAGCTTACAGTGTGTGATGGATCAAACAAATTTGTATTCTCCAAAAATTATTTTTCAGTTCTTTCGTTTTAAAAGATTATTATAAAAGTGTTAGGCTCAGAAACTCAGAAAAATGTAGGTCCAACCCGCCCCCAAAAGGAATTATGTCGAGCCAAGTGCTTGTGAACTCGATGCAATCCGTTTTACGCATATTAACATATATGACATTAAAATGTATTAATATGTTTCGTAGGTTAAATGCAACAAAATTGTTACAATAATACAACTTCCTTTCTTAATTTTGTTTAATTTTATTCAATCTAACGTAGAAAGCACATTGACAAACATAAGTTCCAATATATTCAACAATTTTTAGATTATTAGCTCATTACAAAATGAATATCCATTGACAAACATCATCAAATTTTCAAGTGGCTAAGCTCCAACAATAACGTAAGGAAATATCCAATTGGATAGAACATTCTTATCCTTAAAAAAAAACTTCTTTTTTACACGTGTATGATGATAACATTGCCAACTAATGAATTTCTGGCTTCTTATCCTTTGCCATCCGGCCCCAACTACTTGGGACATTCTTATTTTATAATACGTATCGTTCAATTATCAAATCATCTTTCCAGACTAGTCAAATGTAAATATTTGCACTCAGTCGAAGTAATGAACTATGACATATATGTAAAAGAAATATTTTACCTTATCAAACTGTGTCGCATATGATATTTTAACCATTGGACAATTCTACTTATACATAGGGGTGCCATAAGGGTTCACATAATAA